GATTTTTTGGGCTGACTCTGCATAAAAATGTCAGGAGACTTCTCCAAAAGCCGAATGAAGATATAAATTGGAAGCTCTGGAAATACATAAATCTGGCCACCAGCTCAGTAAATTCTAGCTATTATTTACAACAGTAGCCATTGCTCACATCAGAGACGATGTGTTTTTGTTTAAAATATTTATGATTTTTTTCTCGGATCGCCATGGCCACTGTATTAGAAGATAGAAAGTACTCCCTCCGTCCGGAAAAAGAATACAACCTACGGGTTGCGTGCGATGAAAAATAGTTCCATATTTGACAAATTTCTAGTGAATACTATGCACATTTCGGCTCCCAAAATAATTTATTATGAAAATAGATTTAAATGAATATTCGATGATATTTATTTGATCTGGTAAATGTTAATACTTTTTATTTATAATTGATCAAACTTAAGATCTTAATGGCGTAGCTGCGCTTTAAATTGTGCGTTACTTTCTGCGGGCACAGAAAGGAATATATAATATTACATAAAGAGAAGGCCGTTCCCGGCTGGCATGCGGGTATCTCGAGGCTACATTTTGTAAAATAACATTCTGAGGATACAGAGGAAGCGCCCTATTTGGGATGCCTTGGCCTCGCGCTAAAGCTGCAGGGCCTCCGGCGCTGATCTTCGATCCAGCGATCCACTTCGGCCTTGATGAGCTGCAGTAGTTTGCTGACATTCCCCCGTAGATTCTCTGAAACATATCGCATTGCGCTCCTTCCAAACTTGCCCTAAAATCCACTACCGCAGAGACACATCCCAGAGACGATATAGTAACGTGTTTTCCTGCGTCTCTGATGATTGTTACCCACGTCTATAATTTATGGTTTGATAAAATGACCAATTTGCATCTAGCATGCCCACATCTATCTATCAAATCGTTATTACGGAGATATGCTACAAATGCAACTAAGAAATAGTATAAGTTCTTATACCATGAAGTAAAAAAGATGATGTAAAATTACATATAAATTATAGCTATGGCATTATGAACATGGACTTTTACATTATACGATAGAGCCGAAATTAGTTGCACACACATTTTCTAATTTAATCAAACAACTTTTCCGAAATAAATGTTTATTAAATTTCTTTTGAATATAAGTTTATAAACAGGTTTTTCTTTCCAAAACTGGTATGTATATAAATTGTTTCCCTTAAAAAGTATTCGCTTCTAATTATTTATGTTTATAGCTTTTTTTTCTAGACTAGAAAAAAGAGGAAAAGCCCAGACGTTTTGTCTCACCGCCTTACGTGCGTGACCCTTACATACTGTACATTACAGGTATGCTGTCGCTTGCTGTGTAGTTGTCTGATTAGCAACAATAATAATTCAGATAAAAATTGCATACTGCTGTGATCCTTCAATCAGACACGACGATTAGGACGCAGATTTTGTACATGTAGCGTACAGTATTATTATTACATCTAATGCTGTCGCTGTCTGATTGGCAACAATTCGGCCGGGTCAGGGCTACTTGCTAGCTAGCATACGTAAGTATACGTCCATCGCATATATATATACTCCTCCGTAAAAAAAATTATTTTGACTTTCAGACATCTTATTTGATGACCATCCGTATTATTCAAAATATTATATAAATATCTTATATTTTGTTATGATTTTATTTTATCATTAAAGATATTTTAATAATAATTTATTTATTTTATAATTTATATAAAATTTTAAATAAAGGCAGACGGTCATACCTGTATGTCTGAAAGCTAAAGCGTTTTTTTTAAAGGCAGGCGTGGTGCGTCCAAACCATATATCATATGATGATATATGATATGATATGATGAAGCATATCCACGACACACCATAAGGTGGTTGGAGGACTGAAGCTCGTCGCCTACGACCGCTGCGCAGGAGCATGAGATCTCGTTGGTTACGGCTTTCCAACGTGCCAAAAATCGTGTGTAAACGGCGATAGGCACTGGGTACCGTGAGCGTATCTGGCGCTAGATCTATTTGAATAAGATCCGTTTGGAGGGAACAGATAAATGATCATTAGGTTGGTGGTTTGTATTATTCTTGGTTGGTTTATGTGAGAGAGAAATCTGCTTTGGTGGTTGATTCAGCGCTTGATACTCGTGTGAGGCGTGACCAACCAGCCGATGACGATCATCTTTTAACTAGCTTCAATGTTTATGGACTCAGGGGCAACTCCAGCGGCACCTAAATCAGTCTCCCAAACCTATTGTTGGGCTTTGTGGAAAAAAACCAATAGCGAGCAAAAACAATGCCCGAGATTAGTTGAAATTTTGAATTTCAAGTTAATGACTTCTAGTGACCTCCATCTATATATAGGTATATCAATATATAGGATAGAATGTGTGAACAACCACTTGAATTTACAAAAATAGATGAGTAGTCGTGAAAGATAAATATTACCATGTTGTCAACTTTGAGCCTCAATTCAGAGTTTCACTACTCTGAGGTGAGTTTCCGATGACAGAGCTCTCTCTGATGTGTAGTCGGAACCGAGGCAAGTCTCTAGAAATGCATTTATAGAGATGGTTCTATTACTATCTGCCTCTAAGAATTGATTTGGAGGCGGTTGGAGAGTGAGCAGCCTCTAAGAATAGGAATTCTTGAGGGTAAAATTTGAATTTTCAAACAACCTTTTCATTTGAAATCATCTTGCATGAGAAAATTATATTTGAATTTCTCATTTGAAATTCAAAATTTTCAAACTTGACCTGAGATGGAGAAATGACAAAAAATTAAAGTTGTAGATCTTAAAAAGTTTACAACTTTGTAGTTGATAACTTTTTATTTGAATTGTTTTAGAGTCTAAATAATCATTTTAAAACTAGATGAAGATAAAATAAGGAGACGAATACTCTCAAATGGACACAAGTGTTTTATAAGTGGAGTGGACAAGGAAGAAACACGCGAAGAGCCTGACTGAAGCGTCACGTTTTCATGAAAATCACGTGACTTGTAATTTACTGCAGCATGTGCCCCATGCTACTGCCTGCTCGCTCTCCTTGATCCGACAGAATGGGGAATAGTTCCCCAATCGTGTTCGTCATGGGGAAGCATGGTACACCCGCCATCTGACCGCGTCCACCGCCCGAGCCGTGGCTTCTCCTGCGAGGCCACATCGGCCGAGAGGATCACACGACTTCTCGACTTCTCACTTACAGGTGAATGGCTGGTGAGTGGCCTCACTGACCGGCCTCAGGAAGCGAGGCATATAGCCACGCAGAGGCGGCAGCGGCAGGAGGAGGCGCGGAGGCTCCACGATTGCCGAGGGAAGGCCCTCGTCCGTCAGGCTCGCCGTGACAGGAAGGCCCTCGCGTCACCGTGCTCGCCGTAAATCAGCTCGGAGGCGATGAGGTGGCCGGCTCGAGGCGATGTGCAGGAAAGCTCCGGTGTGGTCGTGGGCTCCCGATAGTCGTGGCCAATGACCTCGTGAGGAAGGACATGTCCTCCATATCAGGCCGGTGTTCAACAAGGTAATGTAGAAGAGCGAGAAGAGGAAGGATTATGGAAGCGGTGAAAAAATGCACGAGGAAGAGCCAGCATCATATCTGATTGAAAGAAAGAAAGAGGATATGAAAATTTCAGACCTCGATGGCTATTTATGTCGAGAGATCTCTTGTATGGATATAGTTATGCTTGAAATGTTAGGGGACACTTGAAATGTAATGAGATGGTTGCGACATTGTAGAAGCTATCTTATAATGCAATGAAATTGTCTATTAATTTACTGCTTGCATCTACATCTACGTTTTTCTCTTGTGATGGTTGCTAGCATTTAGTTAGCTCAATCTGAACATATCTTGAGGAAATGCATATGGGGCCTCTATTGTGTGTTGAAGCAATTCTAGGATATACTTGCTTGTAGTAGAAGTATTTGCTCATTTTGCACAATACTTCTATTACCATGCAAATTTTTTTGTGGTAAAGGCTCACTTTGGGTCTCCATACAATTTTTCTACATTGAGAGAATGTCTTAATATTTTACGGTTTTCTCTTCTACATATATAGGCATCCATAGACCTCTGACCATAAAACATATATTAGCTAGTGATATGAAACATGTATTGCAATTAACCACATATATGTAAAAGTGAGGCATAAAACACATAGCCATAAAGACCATTTAGTTTGCCATTGAGCGAGTTGCAAGCTGTAGCCTTTGGTACATATGTTTTGGTGCCATTCTACAATGTTGTGGTGCTACACAGTACAAACATCTTTCTCAGACATAGATGCTCACAGTCATGAGACTAACTATTTCCCAAAGGTGTGGCATTCACAAAAGAACAAAGTTGTCATGAATAACTAATTCCAAAAAAGTTATCATGGCTAACTAATTCCCAAAAGTTGTCATGGCTAACTAATTCCCAAAAGTCTTCACTAACTATTTCATGAAAGTATCAGGATCTTCACTAACTTTTTTAGTCCTTGGTTTTCTTTGGAACCTTTTTTACATCTGGTGTAGTCCTCTTCCTCTTTCTTTAGAGTCTTGCCTTCCTTGGTGGGCTGTTGTTAGAAATCTTGGCCTTCAATGGCCTGTTGGTGTTGATGAACTCTTGAATCTGGCGATTGGCCCTGGTGATGTGGAATGGATGAATCTGATCCACCATGAAATAAAGATGGTGACCTACATTAGTGGATTCATCAAACAACAAAATTGATAACAATGACGGGCATGTGAAGTAGATAACCTTTTGCATCATTTGCGATAACATGGTCGAGCTCATATTGGACATCATTTGGGAGTATATTGGTGCATCACCCGGTTTGTGTTAGGTGGTCATATGTTGATATCATATGATAGGTTCTTCATGGCCCTACCTTGAATACGAGAATTTTGTGGACCTTCATGGCCTTCTATGAATACACGAAATTTGTGGACCTTAATGGCCTACAAAGCTGAGATGCAGGGTATCCTATAGGTTTACAAATGGCGATATGTCATCAAAATAATTTAAATGGCGGACAATTAGTTGTAGTACATGATCATTGATGATGGCAGTTTTACGAAAGGTTGTACCATATTGATTGAGATTGGTGGGACCAAGTCTTGGTCACATAATCCTCTGGATTGATCCCAACCTTCTTAGAAAACAACCTTTGACATTGTGATTTTCTACTTTGCGATTAGCATTGCATGATGACCACTCCATGTTTGGAAATTGATGGTCCATGTTTTCCTTGAATTCCTGTGGCTCCTTCCTTCCTACTGGGTGGTCTTCCTACTCTTTTCTCATACTTAATTGGAAGAACTATGGGACCATTACATTTTCCACCGATTAATATCTCTACATGGAATGACTTTACTTTCCATATGCTTACGCTAAATGCTTCAAAGAGTAGCACTCATGGACAACACTTTCAACTAGAATTCTTTCATGCCTTAAGCATGATATAGGCGTGCTAACAGAATTCTTGTGAGATTCCCACTTCCTACATTCACATGTCTTTGCTCTAATGTCCACAATGTAAACTCCTTTCAAGTACTTGGAATAAACCATTTCGAGGATGGCATAGCATAGCATATGTTGGCAAATTCTGCATTCTTTGCTACTTTCTTTCTAATCTTAGGACATATAGGACCGTAAAGCTATCATACAATTCCTTTTTGCTTGTTATAGTGCCTAGTCATTAGTTGTTGTTTGATCTTTTCTAACATGGAAAGAATTGGCAATTCCCTAGCTTCGATATGTAACTATTAAATACCTCTGGCTTGTTGTTCAGAAGCAAGTGAGTCTTAAAAAATTGAAGCAAAGTAAGCCCCTTACCCATGTGTTCGAGGGCATCTTCTCAACCAATTAAATGTAAGCTTGGCTGAGTGCCTTGACTTCTCCATGTGATATTGACACTTTTGCTCTGTACTAGCTCTTGCAGAGTCCCTGCTGCTTTTTAAGTATTTCACCTTTGAAACGGCAGCATCCACTGAAGTTTGCATACAAATACCTCCTACACAGAATCGATGCTCATTGTTGAGTGTTTCGCTTTGTTCCCCTTTAACACCTTCCTTTGGCCTTCTTTGCCTTTGCAATCTGCATAGCCTTATCCACATCATCATCTCATATTCCTCATATAAGTCATCATCTCCTTCATCCGACTCATTGTCACTTTGTCACAAAAATAGTTTGAATCATCACTATCATCTTACCTACCTTGACATTATCTCACTTTTTGGGGTTTGTCTCCTTCCTCAAATCAACTTTGTAAAATGTAGGCATTTATCTGGTCTCTTCTCCATGTCTTTTGCACCTTACGGGGCTGATCCTTTGGGAAGCTCTGTCCTTTGGGTTAAGCACCACATCATCCCATGAAAATCCACCAATGTCGTCTTGGTCAAAATCACAGAACCAATGTCTTCACCCCTATCAACCCTTTGAACACATATCATTTGTATCTGCATCGATGAAGCATAAGCCTCAAGCCATCTTGCATTTCCTTTCTGGCTGACAACCAATGCACCTTCAAAGCGATCTTTTTGCTCTCATAATAAGATTGTTGTGCAATGTCATCAAACCACAAAGTGGACCAAGTATCAACATCACGATAATCAAACTACCTACAATCAAACAATTGTGCCAAATACACTACATCGATTACTAAGCCATAGTGAGTATTTCACTACATTTCACTACACTACATCGTGGTAAATTTACGCGACATCGATTGTATTTCCACGGTACCCATCTTAACCTACCCCATAGACAAAAGCCCCAAGCTGTCGCCGAATACGCACCCTAAATGTCAAACCCTATACCCCCAAAATTGAAACTTTACAAATCAAAAACCACGATTACTTGAAACCATCGGTCAGGGCACCAAAAATTGGAGACTTTGTCATCCCAGAACTTACCATAACAAGCGGAAACTCCCCTTTGCTCATGACTTGGACCCTATCGCCGTAGCCTCTGTGACCACCTACTCTCTTCTTGCCTACTACACCACCCCAATCCCTTCTCCTTGATCTCCTTCTTTGAGAAGCGTCCGGCGTCATTCGCCTGGTGACCCCGTCAGCCCCCGAGGAAGAAGCGAGTGGTGAGTCTGAAGGAGGAGAAAGCCCGAGGAAGGGGCCAGCGTGTGTTAGCGTTTGATTTGGGGCGAGATCACGTCTGCGCCTGCTGGAACACCGGGCAAGCCAGGTCGGGTAAATAACCCGTTGGACCCACAATTATGGCCTATGTTGGACTAGTTTTGGGACGAAAGTTGCATTTTTAAAAAGCGGCGACCTAAATGACTTTCTTTGCCAAGTTAAAGGATCGTAGGTGAATTTTTATCCGAGGACAATAATATTTTGCTGTTGACTTTTATTTTTTGATGATAACATAACATGCTGTATTGCTGTTGACTTTATTGATGCAGACTTGCAGAGTGGCCGTGTCCATCGAGGCAAAACCATCGATCAATTTCCATAGCAGGAGAGGGCAAAATATGAAAAGGAAGCAGAGGCAATGATCGCCGAATTTTGACAGAAAAGCAGATTGGCTGAAAGTACGGTCAGTTGAGTTGATGACATTCAAGGAATATGAGGCACTGAGGCCAGCATAATATATTTATCAGATTTACTTACTATATATACATATATAATAAACATAGTTGATTCGTACAATCCCCTAACTATTTAATAGTAAATTTTTTTAAAAAACTCAAATCGAACTTATAATTTGAAATGAGAGAATCCTGGCATTAAAGGCACATCAATTTGGTATTAAAAGCCATTTTGGTGATAAGTTGAAGCGAAACGAGACCTTAAAGAAGACAAAGTAGAGTTAGATTCTTCGTCCCATTCTTGTTATTAAAGCTAAGACCCAGCATCTCTAACTAATACTCACAAAATCGGGTGGCGAGTACGAGTGGTGGTAGCAGTGGTAGGCCTAATTAAAAGTAGCTAATCCTCCTAACTAATCGAAAAAAGCACTTGGCTGGAAGCATCGTGACAGGTGAACACGCTGCTGGTGGTCACTGGTGGGTCAGCTGCGGCGGACGGCGAGCGACTTCAGCCCAGAACACGCGTGCTGGCTCCTGCCCTGCAGCCTGCACCGTCAGCCGTTTCGTTTCGTGCTGGCGGTGGCGCGCGGGAGCTTTGGCCACCTGACGGCGACAGCAATGCGGAAGCGCCGCCACCCCCATCGCTCATAACACGGTGGTGGCGGCGGGATCTTTTTGGTCCCAGGTCGCAGGTGCCGGCCATTCTCCTCCGAAGTCCTAACGAACGGACGAACGGTAGGTAAAGGATGGACCAGTGGATGGGCGTGCGCGAGCGAGCGAACGCTCCGTCGCTCTCGATCCGGCGGCTCGGAGTCGGCGCCCCTCCACGCCCCCAACGGGCGGGGACGGCAACTTCGCTCGCTGGCCCCTCGGCGCGGCGCTGGCCAGATGCCCAGCCCCCATCAACGTTCCTGTCTCCCCTCCTTGTCAACAAAAACGTCTCCTGTCTCCCCGGGACGTCATGTCATCTCGTCGCGGCCATAAAATTTGGATGGATGGCAGCGCTGGCAACTGGGTTTTCTTTCTCGCATCAACGACTAAATTTATTCGTCCCACTAGACACTTACGTGGCAGCAGTGACACCTAAAAAAAGATATTGACAGTTTAGAAAAAAATATTAGAGTTAATATTTTTTGACTTTTTATTTGTTTTATTTAAGTTTTTTTTGCTTTGTTTATATTCGAGTTCATATGTTGTCAGTTTAAAAATAAAAAAAGATATTGGTAGTTTGTTTTAAGCAGTTTATTTATTTAGTAAGCTGGTAAACGGATCAGGCCAGGCCGAGCAGCTGCGCAAATTCGCCTGCGCATCCTGGTCCCCGTCCCCCCACGCACCTACCATTCTCGGCTCCCGGCACATGCAGGCCGCGCCGGAAGTGACGCCCCACCCACCCGCCGCCGCCGCCTCGATTCATCTGGCAATCAGGGGAGACTCCCAGATACAGATACACCCGTCACGCCACGCAAATCGAACAACACCTATCATACAGATACACTCGTCCATCTCTCCCAGTCCCAGGCCGCCCGCCCGCCCTCCTCTCCCTCTCGTCCTCCCCGTCGCCAACCTCCAACCCCCCGCCGATTCGGAGATGCTGGGTGTCGCGCGGAGGCAGCTCAGATCCAGATGCGTCAGTGCCCTCCCGCCACCAGGTTCCCCTCCCCTGTTCCACTCTCCGCCTCTCCTTCCGCTCACCGTGATCCGTTTCCCTCACTGCAGGTGCTCGCCCAGCTGGCGCAGGCCCCTCCGCCCGCGGCCGCCGCCGCCGCCGCTCCCGCCAGGACCTACTCCGCCGCCGCCAAGGAGGTGAGCACCACGCTACCTTCTCCTCACGATCCCTGCACGTCGCGTCGTGCTGCCGAATCTACCCTGTTTCCCCCCCCAGCTTGGGAATGGAATGGGAACCGTTTCGTTGCCGGCTCCCGGCCTTCCTGCCCGCCGCCAATGTTTGTTTGTCAGCGCTCCGGTAGATTGGTTCTTCGCCGTGATCCGTGTTGCGTCTCGCCAATTGTATTATCATATGCTTACTTTTCCTGCGACTGCGAAATTCTCTCCTCGCGACTAGATTTTCAAAACCTTTTTCCTTTTCTGAGATGTAAATGGTGGTGGATGCTGATTGATGAGCGACTGCTGTTCGTTGTCGACCTTGATCGGAAACAAATGCAGCCCGTTCAGCAGGGCTGAATTGGCTGGCTGGTGCTGGGGCTGGACCAGCCAGCCCAGCCAGCCAATTCCAGCCCCAGCCGTATCCAGCATACTCCAGCCAGCAGATACTGTGCAGACGTTAAAAAATTGGCGCCAGCAATTGTAACTCATGCTGATTTCAAACTTTCAAATTCAAACTACCATGCATTTCTAGATCATGCTGTTTTACAGTTTCAACCAACAATTTGAACCCATAATTTACAGTTTGTAACTCAAAGCGCAGGAACAGTTTGTCCAATGTTTAAGCAGATCAAAGGGATTTGAGGGTTTATGATCCATGCTGAATCCGAGAATCAACACAACCTACAGACAGCGATTAATTACTTGCGCGATTACAATCAAATTCATCTAATTGAGCTCTCTCCACCCCCCACCACCCACCCCCACCCGGCACCCTCAAAAAACATCATATTGACACGGCAAGGTCCTTAGCTGCACCCATACAAATGCCAAGTTAATTGTTGCCCTCTGCTACAAACTCTCTAAGAGGAGCTTTGCCATACGGTCGGCTACATCCAAGCGGTTAAGATCAAGTCGGTTGCGGCATAGGTTGGATTAGAAAAGTAAAAAAGAAAAGTACATGGTTAGGTTGATGAGAACCTTTTCAAGACAAGGTTGCATCAAGTACATTCTTGTGGCCAAATAGCGATTTATGCATTTTAGATCGCCTCAAAAGTACGTTACACACAAAGGTTTAGTATTAGACACGGTTGCCACTTCCCCAAATGGGCACATTGTAAGATCACGAAGAGTGTCAACAAACTGTCTTCCTAAGGTGACCGTTACGGTGTGGGTAGTTAGGCCGGTGGTTCCTTTCGGAATCCCCATAACTCTAAGGTTTACCTTTGTGAGTCGAGTATTTGCAACCATCGTCCTGCTGCCGAGAAAAAACAAAAGGTCAAGGGTAATCATAAGCGGGCATTGTATAATATATATTAAGGCTCCAAGCGAAACACTTACCATCTGCAAACCTTCATAATATAGGCTAATGAAATTATCAGCCTGTCTTTCCATCTACTCATTGACAACCTAAAAGCTAAGTTGTAATCAACTTAAATTCTGGATCATGTTATATTCAATTAATATTCACCTGGTTGGCAAGTTTTGGAGGAGAAATTTTGGACTCAAGCATTATCTGGTCATCTTGGGCGCATATGGCGCCCGAGAAATTGTGCAGTACCATCCTTTCCTTCATTTGGATCTGATACACTTGTACCACTAGTAATCAGACTAGATACAATGCATGTTTCATGATTGCTAGACTCAGTCACTCTTGATTGGAACTGATCCAGGTAATGAAAATCTGCAATCTCTATATTGAAAGAGATGATGACAATCATTTAACATATCGAAGACTCAACATAACATATGCACCTTTAGGCGTCGTAGCACATGTCACTTCATCTCCTTTATATATACACTAGGAAGGCAGCAAAAGCACCTTACCTTTGGTGCCAAGCAATTTAATCTTTGAACGATGAAGATGGCAAAGGTCACCATGTAAATAAAATGGATGTTCATGGAAGTTACTACTAATATTGAGAGTTTACCTAGCAAGCAGCGGCATGGCGTGGTGAGTTCACTTTGCTCAAGCCGCGAAGCGCGTCTTCTTCCGTCTTCTGCCCTTGATAGCAAACTCAAATTACCTGCAGTTCAATCATCCATATGAACAAATACAAAACCAATATGATGAAATCATACCTCACGAAACGAGAATCCTTGAGTAGCAACTAAATGCGGTCTGATGTTACATCACGACGCAAAGCGATACGAGCGTGGCATGGTCATTCCACGGAAACAATGTAGCTACTACTATGAAATCATACATCACGGCACCAATCGGTACATAACTTGGCACTTGTAGTTCTGTCACTACAATTTCATCATACATCAACAAACACAATATGATAGTCCCATAAGCGTTTTTCAAAGCGAACTCGGTCCCACACAACCTTACAGATGCACACGCCAAGATTGCTAAGGAATTGTACCTCTGACTCTTGGTTTGTGAAACAACATCCTTAGCCTACATCAGACAACACTCCACACACGCCATGGATGTTAACTCCCTAAGTCGAAGATGGGGGTTCCCGAGTTTAGTTCAACCCAATCGGCACCTCATAGGAGGGTGGATCTGCTGCCGTATACGCATCCAAAAAATTATCTAAAGCAAAGCATGAAATGATTATCATAGCACTTCATCCCTCACTGCTGATGGGGCACCCCATCAAGAATCGCCACGTTCTTTCAACACCCCAAACCTCCTTTCAATTACATTCCATAATCTAGCATGAATGTGGTTGAATTTCTCCTCCCTCTGCCAATTCTTTGCATATCTATGCCTCTAAAGTCATTGATGTGATACCTTGTGTTTTGTAGGGGGTCATGTAGCCTTCCATCTCCTTGTAAACGCGTCCAGCGAGTAGTGCAAGCCTATCATAGCGTGACAAATCCGATGGCTTAGCAAATTAACCACAAGTATGCTTCAATGCATGTACTACAAGGAAACAAATAGGGTATCTGACGACGGCAAGGCATCACGAACCTTCTGGGGATGTGGGAGCAAGCGTCGTCTGACGATCTTTCAACACCGCCATGTCATGACATGCCCGCCTTCCAGCCCCACATATGTGAAAGCGGCCATCCATATCCACGATGGCACAAACATTAATTGTTGTTTCGCCTTTCCTATTGTAGAAATCAGCCTTTGTGACGCGGTTAACCTCAACCTTTATGTGCGTGCCATCTATATCACCTATCACGACCATCAAACCATGGTGAATGTGCGACAAGTTTGTGGCTTCTGGCGATGCGTAGTTCCTATCTGCTGGGACTAAGACTGTATTTGCCCACTGGTACATTACCTCTGCAACTAGTGTAATCTTCCGGCTAACTGTATCTAAAGACCTTTCGAACCTATACTTTTGCACTTGTCTACTAGCCGATTGGTAGGCACATGTCCGGAATGTACATGCCTAAAGCTTCTAAAGGTGCACTTATCATTGTTGGCAACCCAAGCAGGCGGGGTTTCATGCAAATGCATGAAGTCATCCGCGACATCATAAATTCTCTAAACATCTGGTATTTTCGGCTAGTGTAAGCTGCATCCTTTGGGCTCCCATTAGCTTAGGAATGGGGCAGGAGGATTTACCTCGGGCCTTTCTTTGTGTGAAGCCCTTCGGTAGGGACAAATCTTGCCTTTGCCACGATCACATTGCTCGGTCCATCCTTTGGATGTGTCATTTGTGGGAGGGACAGTCGGTCTTTGCTCATCTTTGCTCATCTTTGCACACGCAATTGGGCATACATAAAGGCTGATTGTAATGCCGATATTAGGAACAACACAAGTGCAAATAAATGAACATATGACGATACACGAACTCGGTAGCACCTTCAAAACAGGTTGGAATGTACATGGGAAAAGTACACTAATTTTTTATTCAAAACACTCACAATGATTACACTAATTTGTTACAACACTCTTTTTTTGTTTACAACACTCACACGATTACACTAATTTTTTATTCAAAAAGCGAGACAACAGCAGAGCACTTAGTTCTCAATAATAGTCTTTGGTAATCTGAAAAAGCGAACATAAGGATACAACAAACCAAATGAACTCAACATGCACATGGTGAATATCCATAAACAGTGAAAAAAAAGGAATGTCTTGTCGGTGGGACTTGTTGGAGCACACAAAGGCCCGTCACTTTGATCCGATTCAGTGAGGCCCTCTTTGGACTCCATGTCTAGAAAACCACGGCGGTGAGCCTATCTACCAAAGGTTCGGGGCTTGCACGAATACTTCATCGACCCCTCGCTAATACCATCTTGCGGTGAGAATGTTTTGGACTTGGGCCAACTCCTGCGCCATCGGTTTTGTGAGCCAGGGCCTTACAGGACCTAGCCTCTCTACGAGAAAGTGGCCGAGGTCTTCAAGGCACTCTCTCTGAGATGGAGTTTGGCTACTCTTCTTCTTTGCGAGGACTATTCATGAAAACTCTCTATGGACTCTCTTGAGGGTGATGAGTACTAGGTGGCTCGGCGGTGGTCCGATAAGGATGGAGGAGGCGAGGGCTTCCATTACTAGGTGACTTGTCGGGTCGGTGGCCCCCGCCCGATACCAACCAGCCCCCATCACGTGGGGTCGTCCCAAAATTGTGATCGGTTGCTCACGGCATTAGGGCCGTTTGAACTTGTTTCTAAGCGGGTTGGCTACTTTCTGCGTGTTGCGATGATGCCAGTTAGTATTGAGTTAGTCACGAACCTAATTGCTACAAAATATTCAAAAAATGCGTGTAGTTAGTACCACAGGGTTGGCGTCGTACAACTCGAGGTCGGTGTATTTCCCTCTCGGTCGGTGGGTCACTGGCCGAGCCCAGTATGGGTACGGCCGTCAGCGCCCGATTGAAATAACAACGTTTCGATTCGTTGTACTTGTTACGACACACTTTCTTGTTGTACCCAAGGTAAGTGACTTTGTTGAAGTCATGAGTGATATTGGTCCACCCTAGTGGGGTTGGACCGTTAGCGAGGGTCGATGTGAGCTCTTTCTGTGCTTGGATGATTAGGTCAAGAAGCGGAGAGGTTGCTCTGTCATCCCGCATAAAGCCACAGTCTGGCACAAATCTGATTCAAGGATCGATAAAGCTATTATGTAATGGCAATGTAAAATCTGAGGAATAGATGTACTAATGGATTCATAATGCTTTCTTGTATCATGGATAATACTAGTTGCCTCAATGTGAAGGAAGCATACAGGAAACCAAAGAACTAAATAACTAGAACACTAGTCCCATAAATGAATTATAGGAGTGAATTGGAACTGTTCTAATTGTCCACCACAGCCAACCCCTCGGAGAAAATCTGAGAACACAAAGGAGACAACAACAAAGGAAGCGAGAATAAGCGCAGGATCCGTAACTTGCCTTATGTGGCCGTTTTACGGCCTTTTGGCCGGAGGTTGTAGGGCTTGCCACGGTTGGAGAGCAAGAGGCAAGCCAAGCCATCGCCTTCTGATTTGGTAATGGCAATGATCTAGCCGGACGAAATGTCCTTGTAAGTCTGCAGTTCAATCATAGAGGTCAATTGTAAGATTGAAAACCTAATCTGAAACATTGTAAAATTGTTGGTATAGGTAAGCACATTTTGTAATCTACAACCCCTTAGAAATGCCCCTTAAGTCATAAGTGACTAAAAGCACTTAATGAAACCAAGCAGGAATCTTAGTAAAAGTTGGACCATGCAAGCAAAATGATTCGATGACTAGTTGCATGAGAATGAAATGACACAAGTGCACCGAACATATATATCAAGAGTAACCTAGGAGCTATTAATTGTTCAAGAATAACAAACCACTTGGATGAACCAACTGAATCTTTGAATGCAATGAAAAGCATGAGTTGTAACACTCCATACTTAGCATTCAATATACAAGTATAGAAGAAACTCATTAAATCAGGTCAATGTCAAATATGATGAACATACGATGATATGAACAAACTTATATATGTTAACTCCTCCGATATAGTAAAATAGCAAGAATATTGTTCACAAAAGTAGCACTTCTATGAAATGGAATCCTATTTAATCTTTGATAGTATTTGAATACATTAGTTGTAGCACTCAACTAATATTTTGCAAGCACACAATGACAAAGGAGGCACAGAAACCATTAGGAGTTTAAGACTGCATTCCACAGAAAACTTAGCAGGTACAAAAAAGCAAAGGGAAGAGATCAAACTTAGTGTTTGGTAATAATAGATCTAAAAGAGACATGAGTACGTTGGATCTCGGATCCGTGATGGTCAAAGTCTTGGCGTTGGCGGGGGGGGTGGGGGCTTACCGTGGTGGAAGGATTCGCCGTTGATGGAGGCGGGGTCCGGGAGGAAGGGCGAGCCCACTTGTCACCAAGGCGAGAGTGAGTGAGGAAACCCTAGCCGCTGCGGAGCTCAACCTCTGAGGCGACCCAAATTTGCGCCTCGAGGCGGCAAAAGTGAGAGGAAATGGCGGCGAGGGATCCGGGTTACCTCGCGGCCAAAGTCGTCGTCGATGGAGGCGGGTGTGGGGAAGAGGACGACGACACTTTTCAAAGAGCTCCCACCGGGAGGACGGAGTAAAAGGCGCCGAGCCGGATCCCGGGGCCACCGGCGGCGGCGAAAGCACGCTGGTATGAGCTACCGCCGGACAAGCCTTGGCGCAAGGCGAGGGCGGCGGCGTCAACGTGGAACCCTAGCCACCGCGAGCGACGGGAGGAAGGAGAGAAAGTGACGGACAATAGGAGTGCACCGGATAGTTGGCAACGGATATAAGCCAGCCAGCGTACCGAACGGGCTGATGGATGGCAGTAGCTGTACAGGGAAACGGGTAGGTGGGGGGAATCTAATAAGTGGTTGGGTCATGGAGCAGTTGTGTATCAGACCGATGATGATTAATTTGCTTGCGTTGGAAAACAAACTGCATTTGTGTAGATTATTGATTGTTCACCAGTGATACTGTTTACATGTGTGAAGAGGAAGAGCACCTGGCATTAGGCGGGAACTGTATGGCACCATACTCTACCTATGCTGGGGGACTGAACAGTGTACTGACTAGATGCCAGGTGCCCAGGTGGTGGATGCCTAGTACCTGAAAAAAAGTTAACCAACTTGGAATAACTGAACTAACAGTGGCGTAATGAGTTGATTTTGGTGATTCAATGGTTTTCTATAGATAGCGAACCTAGGTGTCCAGTGTGATCTCTCATTCTCTGAATTATACCTTGAGGTCTCAGGGACAGTTGGTACAGTTATACATCCTGTTAGGTTATTAATTCAAGAAGCTGGCTTTGGTTCTCTACAGATGTACATCTATGTTATGACCTTGACATTTGGCGTGAAGTTTTACACAGCCACTTTTTTGCTTATTTAGATAACTGTACGGGAAGCATTGAATACCGCATTAGATGAAGAAATGTCAGCTGACCCTTCTGTTTTCTTGATGGGAGAAGAGGTACCACCAGTACCTGTACTTGTTTATTTTCTGTGTTCCATTCTTGCTTCTTTTGGTTTAATAATTGTTGTGTCTGTGGTAGGTTGGTGAGTACCAAGGTGCATACAAGGTCAGTAATATTTCCAAAGATTTATGCTTCTTCTTTTTTTTCTCCCTGTGGCAACTGAAATGTAATATATGAATGTTACTGGTATTGAGCTTCTCTTCGTTGTGGCAGATATCTAAGGGTTTGCTTGACAAGTATGGCCCTGATAGGGTTCTTGATACTCCAATTACTGAGGTTATAAACCCGCAAATTGATCACCATTGTCCATTCATAAGCTGTCAGGTTGACCCGATCACATTCTCATACTGATCTTATTTGTTTTGGTTCAGGCTGGCTTCACTGGCATTGGTGTTGGTGCCGCCTACCATGGTCTTCGACCTATTGTAGAGTTCATGACATTTAACTTTTCGATGCAGGTCAGTTTAATGAATTCTGCAAATCACCATACTAATTCAATTATTAAACTATTTGTTTGCTTTGATTTGTTCTTTACTCCTTGGCATATCTGTTGGTTTCTGTACTCATTTTCTCTACATGCTTTGCAATCCCGGAAAATTCCTGTTTGTTGCAGCATCCTATTGCATATCTGTTTTTGCTCTTCTCTGTTTGCTTTATATTTCTTAGAAGCATGTATTACATAAATTAGAATGGCTCCTAATGGTTGACGATTGTAATGCATTTTGTTAAGTAGCACCTCATTGAAGAAAGATGTATATACATAATCAGCATGTTAACATGTCTGTAGACATTCTTCTCTTGAGAAAAAGTGACATGAACTCCCTCACTCAGTTTATTTTCACATGGTAGAATATCTGGGAAAATCTGTCAGATCCACTAAACACTATGATCCATTCTAATTTGATTACTCAATCAGAGGGGTTATAATCTGAGATGGTGTCGCTGATGAACGTTTGGTCATTACAATTCCTTGCACAGCAATTTGTCTTTACAATTTTCTGCAACAATAATGTTTGTTATTCTGGTACTGCTCTCCATCTTTGAGAATATGAATACTGGAGACTCCATATGCTGAAAAACAAATCTGTTAATTACACCCTGTTGTATATTCAGGCAATTGATCACATAATTAATTCAGCTGCCAAGTCGAACTACATGTCAGCTGGCCAGATATCTGTACCTATTGTCTTCAGGGGTCCAAATGGTGCTGCTGCTGGAGTTGGTGCCCAACACTCGCAGGTTATTGGCACAAACTTACCTCTATATTGTTGTTCTGTTGCTGTTCTTATTCTTTAGAAGACAAATAGTTATGCCATATGATTTAATGTTCTGAAAGTCTTGTGCTGGGACATACATTGACAGAGGATAGATTAATTGTAGGACTAAATAGTTCATTACAAGAGTTTTATCTCCATACGGTAATATTTTGTAGAGCTGTTCTCAAAATGGAAATAAAATGTAAATGTGTTTACTGAGAAAGAGGTGTAAGCTTTAGGTCGCTTTAAAATCATGCAGTGCATATCATCTCATGGACATTATAGTCCTGTAAATATTTACAGATAGGTATGTTGCTGTACTTTGATGGAATTACTAACTGTCTTAGTATGCAGTGCTATGCAGCTTGGTATGCACATGTTCCCGGATTGAAAGTTCTAGCTCCATATTCTGCAGAAGATGCTCGAGGTTTGCTAAAAGCGGCAATCAGGGATCCAGATCCTGTTGTGTTCCTTGAAAATGAACTTCTGTATGCAATATCTTTCTCTGTTCAACTATATTCTCTATGTTGTTTGTTTGAGTTGACGTCTCATTATATAATGCATTTTTCTGCAGTTATGGTGAATCGTTCCCTGTTTCTGCTGAGGTACTTGATTCTAGCTTCTGCCTTCCGATTGGAAAGGCTAAGGTATGTTCTTGTATTTATTAGTGGAAGTGAAGAGTTCAATCTGATCAGGCTTCCCTTGATGGATTTTCTGCAAATCTTTTTTTGTTTTTGTTTTTATGAATGTAGATAGAGCGTCAAGGGAAAGATGTCACTATCACTGCATTCTCCAAGATGGTTGGATATGCTCTTCAGGTGTGTGAATGTAGATTTCTTAAGTAGATGGAAGAATTGTTTGTTTAATGCTTATACATGTATTGACTTACATTCTTGTTCATGTATTTCATAGCCGTCGGAATTCAACATGCTATTGGCTAATAATGATAAAATTATAGCTTTATTCTATTGCAATTTTCACAAAAAAGAAGAAAATCCAGTAAACCAAGTTCTCTAGTTGGTGGTTCTGGTTGCATTTCTCATGTTCTGTCATTTTTCAGGCCGCCGATATACTGGCCAAGGAAGGTATCAGTGCCGAGGTAATTTGTCTTTGCATTTCTTCTACACTACAGGCTTGTGCTAACCATATATATTTTCCCGTGGAGTCCATCATTGTTGTCTTATTCTTTAGTAATTTCTCTGTTCAGGTAATCAATCTTCTCTCGATTAGACCGCTGGATAGAGCTGCTATTAATGCATCTGTGAGGAAAACCAATAGATTGGTAACCGTAGAAGAAGGCTTCCCTCAACATGGGATTGGTGCTGAAATATGGTCAGTCTCTCTCCCTCCCTCCCTCCTTCCCAATGTATGGTCTACATCTCTCCTAATGGGTTGACATGTGTCTTTGCAGCATGTCTGTTGTAGAGGACAGCTTTGAGTATCTTGATGCACCAGTTGAGAGGATTGCTGGAGCTGATGTGCCCATGCCATACGCTGCCAACCTTGAGAGGATGGCTGTTCCACAGGTCCATACTGGTCCTTTTGCTTTCATTTATAGTTTGCATACGGATCTGTGGTTACACAACTCTTGTTATTCGACAAAGCTAATGGCATAACAGTTTCAGTAGCTCCTTAAACAATACTACTGCTGCGCTGAAATTTCAGTCTTGCATACATGAATATATTTTGACCTGCATTCTGTACAATTAATGTTTGATTTGCAATCCTCGACATGGTATGGTTAAAGGGGCAGACCCAATGTCGGAGGCTCCCACATGAGTGGGGTCTGGGGAAGGGAAAAACCGAGGCAAGCTTCCCCCCGCAAAATCTGCGGAGAGACTGCTTCGAACCCGTGACCTGGTGACCCAGTAAGACAGCTCTCACCACTGCACGATATGGTACAAAAGCTAATTTAGGTGATAAAACAATAGTTGTTTTGCTAATAGCCGAATTAACAGACAAGGTCTTAGGTTGTGTCAAGCACATGAGAGTTCAGTCATGGCTGCATGTGTGATGCGAGAGTTGTAGCAGACAGTTAACAGGTCTTTTATAAAATAGTATAGTACTCCCTCTGTTTTTAAATATATGCTGTTTAGGAACAAGCTAACTAGTTGAATAATGAACTAATTAGCTTGCTTTGAACATCATTTATTTAAAGACAGGGAGTAGTAGGCTACTGTCTATACTCTCTGGTAGGTGCACTGCATCTCCACCGTGATGCCACAGGGAGATGCAAATATTTCTATCTAAGATAGAATTTTGGAGCCTTGGCTGGGGAAAGGTGATCGTGGTAGAGCTGTGGTATTAGTCTGGCATTGAAAGTAGGCTCGCGTGATTGATTATTTGGACAAAATTGCAAAAATGCGGGTGGATGACAACTGGGTCCATCTGTGTCTACGAATATGGGTCTAGTGTCAAATCTGCAAACGACCGATGTTTCGAGTCCCATTTTTGCAAATCGCCCCATTATTTGTAGGTGGTCCTCTTTTGACTCCTTGTTATTGACACTTGCAGGTGGATGACATCGTCCGGGCAGCCAAGCGTGCTTGCTACAGAGCAGCAGTACCGATGGCAGCAACAGCCTAATTCAACAGAACCCTGCCTTTTCCATTTCTGTGTCTAATGTCCAGAGTCCAGAAAGATATGTCCCCCATAATGGTATGACGAGTACCCACTGCCGCTGCAACTCAACTAGCATGAGCTGATTTTGTAGAGCCACCAAGAGGTGTCCAGTACTCCATCCAGTTCCGTTGTCTTCGCCGCCGCAGCCGGATGGCTGCGCATGACTGCAGCCTATGGAGATAAGATTTTACATGAGGCGAGGTGGTGTCAATAAACATGTGGTATTCGGAAGGGGAACTCTCAAGAGGTCCAAAAATAGTTATTCTGGTTGCGCCTTTCTTGATAACCACGTCTCTTCCATGCTAGTGCTCGAAACTCCTCTGTCTATCCATGGTCCTGCCAGCCAGCCAAACTCTGGGAGATGTTATCCGAGAGCGGAAGCAAGCATGGTTCGGGCAAATCCTTGCGGTGTCCGAGAGTGACGCGTTCGGCACGTACACTCACTCCTCACTTGAAGACGCTTCAGGCGACATGTATGGTCAGGCGGGAGATTCTATCTACGATGCACAGGTGTGGGTGTGGTGTGGTATACTCCTATCCCAGACCCAGAGAGAGAGAGAGAGAGAGAGAGAGAGAGAGAGGAGAGCAAGAGCAAGTTGCGGGCTGTGGGGCTGGTCTGGTCGAGGTCGATCTCCCCCCATGACCGACCCATGGATGGATCAATTCCTCGCCTTGGAAAGATACACCAACTTGGTCACGTCTCACGCGCGGAGTACGCGAGAGGGATGCCGCTTGCCTTTAACCACAGCCGGACGGGCGGATGGCGTTGTAGATCAGGCGGCAGCCCCTGGGCAATGGTGGATAGATTGATGCCTCCGTCCATCCTTTTGGTTTTTGGCCGCTACTTGCCATTGGATGGGGCTGGTATTAAAGCCGACTGATGAGCTAGCTGAAGCTGTTTTATTATAAGAGAAAAATACTAATACTATAGATTTTAGCTGATAAGTGATTTCTAGCTGATAAGTTTAAACCAACCGGCCCTAACAGTGGACGGTCCTATGCCACCGGTCAAATCAAACAGAACGTTAGGAAGGGACATGCGGTTCTAGTGGTGCAGAAACAGAGACGATTCCCGAAGCAGATACCATTTTTTTTAATTAAAAACAGAGGTAGTACTGGGTTATTTAAAACATACTACTGTACCAACGTAATCATAGGTTACAATGACTCAAAGAATCCGTGTCATTGCTCGACATAACTCGTATAAGTATGGATGGTGAGTTTGATATAAATACCCCCTATGAACGCCCTGCTCTTTATGAGCATATCTAAAAGACAGTCGGAAGGAGATTGATAAAGTCACCGTAACGTGACACGTCACGCTATGGACAAGCACGTCGCCAGCCACTCAAAAAACAATGTTATGAAATCCTGAAATAAATGCGAGAAATTTGGCTTATTGCTAATGCTTATACTGATTTACTGTGAGGAAAAAATTTTGTTCGTTCGCTAAAAAGTACTGCTGAAGTAGTACAAGCGAACAGGGCCTCGGCAATAAGCATCAACATTAAGATTTATATCTACAGTCCTACAGATATGTTTGGTATGAAAATATATTCCATAACAAGTGTAGAAATACTTAATGCTGAGACAACTTTAGTATTTTCCTCTATATCAATGTCATAAACATATTCAATGTCATAAACATTAGTATTTTCCTCTATATCATTCCACATTTTAAAAATTGAAAGTCGAACTCTTCTTAAAAAAACCGAGAGTACTAGCTCAGAATTTCAAAGAAAGAACAACTGTAGACATTGCAGCTCGCAGTTCGAGAAAGATAAAAACAAAGAGAAGTGCAGGTCATGATGGGTAAGGAGCGAGGGGATGGAACGAACAAAAATGGAGGAAAGCTCAAGCGAGCACAGGTCGCAATTATTATCGTCCTCTAGATTATTTTCAACAACAACACCTAAAATATAAGACTTATTTAATGTTTAGGTAGAATTATAGGTAAAAGGTTTAATACTCATTCGACATCTTCTCCAACAATAGAATCCGAAAGAGAATCCTTTATGCAAATAGATTTTTAGAAGAGATGATACTCATATTTAGATTGTGCCTTTCAAGCAACCTAAAATAGATTTTTCGTATAGATACTTTATAAAAAGCTAATTTTGAATCTCTGCTGGTTTGACGCTAGTTATCGGAGACAGTGTTAGATTGATAAAAAGGAGAAAGTACGGATCCGAGCCGCACCTGCTGTGGTCCACACGCGCTTCATTTCTTTTTTTTTCTCACGTTGCTTTCACAGATAAGACCTCTGAAAACTGGTGTTTTTCTTTTGTGCATGCTGCTCATACTCGCAACTTCGCAAGAAAGAGAAGCCACGATCACTTCACAAGAAAGAGCATACAAATTCGTGTAGTGATATACTTGCCCCGATCAAAAAAGAATGCAACTAGGATTGTCTGCCGGCAAAAGTAGTTTACCAAATTTTCAGTAAATATTATTTACATAATTTATTATAAAAATATATTTCATAACTAATCTAATAATATTTATTTAATATTATAAATATTCATATATTTTTATCTATAATTGATCAAACTTAATACTTAACCATGACGCTGTGGTAGAATTGTTTTTTTTTCTTAGACGGAGGGAGTATATTTTTTTAACAGCATGAATTTAAAAGTTAGCGTTAGGCCTTCATTATATCAGAATATATTCGATCTCTCTTTTTTTCCTTGGCTGTGGCGAAAAAGGATACTACGTTAGAAAACGAGGCATTGTTCCTGGAGTTTGCTTGCACGGCTGCCACAATAACAATTCATTCTATACTCTATTCCTTTTATAAAATTTGGGTGTTGATTTAATGAAGCACGTGATATCTCTTCATAATGTGAGCAAGATTTGTTTTGACTTTAGAATCACAAAAACGTTGCTTGCATAACAAACCTTTGGCCTATAGATATGGTTAATACAAACAATAGTTGGATAATAACAAGATAGATCATGTTCACTTTAGTTTTGTGCGTCTGTGGCTGTGGCTATCAGCAGTACTAGCAAAAATGCCACATAGTGTAGCCGCAGCCACATTGGCTGCACGCTTCCACCGAATAGGCCCATGGTCTTTGGTTGCCTGCCGTAGCACGTTTGGATCGGCTTGTCGAGCCGCTTTTAATTAAATCAAGTAACAGGGTATCCAAACTAGAAGCTTATCAAGCACTTACATAAATACAATGCAAAATGTGTTAAAGCCGGAAGCAAAAAGGAAGGAGGTTCCTCTCCACATGTTTGCTCACCCTGAGCCAAGCTCGGAACTCTAGGACTAGGAGTTCCTTTGCACCGACGACGGCTCCAAACACCCCTCCATCGCCCTGAGCTCCCATCCATCACCAAAGATCTCTGCACGAAGTTCCCTCCACCACTTGAGTGCTCCTTTAGCTAGCGACACTTTGTGAGACCATCATCTGTTCCGCAACCAGCACTGTTACGCGGTCGGTGTCAATTTCCTTGGCGAACACCACACCCTCCCTTTGTGGGCGTGGCTACGAGCTACGCCCTCCTCTATTGCAGAATCTATCACCGCCCTGGAGCTTCCCTCCTCCTGTGGGTCATTAGATTCGGCAGAGATGAGCACGACGACAAGCTCCCGCAATGGTAAGTGATTGCTTTTCCCTTTCTCCTCAAAACAGATCTTGGGTTAACATCTACTCTATCATTTCAAATTATAAATTGTTTTTGACTTTTCCAAATACATATTTTTACTACATCTAGGTATATAACAAAACTATAGAAAAACAACAATGACATAGAAAAAACTCTTTTTCTTTGGGAAGGACATAGAAAAAACTCAGAAAAGCGAGGGAACACCTGTTTTTTTCCAAATCGGAGGACCTCAGGGACCAAAATGCAAGATGTGAGTCCTCGGGAAACATTTTTATCCGTGGGCGTCGTCGCGTCGAACAACAGAATACCAACTAAAAACACAAGCCAAACCGAAACAGCCTTCCGCCGGATTGGAAAATACCAGATGCTACCAGCGCTACTAATCCAGCGTTTCCCACCGTAGGAATCTCTTATTAGCGCCTCAATTAACGACCCGTGTCTTGTTGCACAATTATATAGCCACCATTTGAGAAGATAGGGGAGGTGGAGCAGCCAAGAACGCAAGGAGGGGAAGGGGAGGGAGAGAGGAAAAGATTAGGAAGGGGAGGGGGATAAACTGAGGGGAAGCCAAGAACCCCAGGAGGAATCAATCGGCCGGATTGCACCCGAGTTCCTGGCCGATTTTTTCTAGCGATCGGATCGAAGCAGTCCCATCGCTGAAGGAGAGACCCGATTCCGTTCGGCGGCCATGCGGTTGATTTCTCTGTTTGGTCTGTCAGGTAGGCTGGCGTGTGGCGTCTTGATTTATATCCAAGTAATTTTGGTTTGGATATCTGCAATTTCTCTTGTCGTGTTGGGCTCTGTTCAGTTATTTGTGGCTTTGTGGTAACTTGGTTTGATTGCCCCGATCGATAACAAAGCTGTTATTGTGTTCGCCCAAAATCTGTGCTTCCTCCTTTCTTGCGCTTATAGCTGCTGTGAAGTCCCTCCTTTAATCGAACTGGGGTTCACAAGTCCGAATGTGATTTTTGGTTCATCTTCAGTTTTGTTTGTTTCGGGAGTGTTCACATGGTGAACCTCTACTGTCTTGATTTATGTGTAGTAGTGTATTTCATGATCTACTATTGTTTAGTGGATATTGATACAACCGTAGTTGGCTGTTCACTTACTATTTCTGAGCAAGTAGAAGTTCCATAAGCTGACAGTTTCCTTTTATGAACTGAATGAAGTAATACTAGCTCATGTCATTAATGAGCTCAGCTGTATGGTGAAGTATGTAATGCTCTTCAATTTGCTTTCTGCAGGACTGTGATGGGCATGGTTGATCCCAGGTTCCTTGTTGCTTGCTCAGGGTCCAAGTTGTGCTTCATCTCCAGTTGCCGCAGTAGCAGCACAAAAATGATGATATGCTTTCTTCAGAGGCGTCCGGAGTGTAGTTCTACCCTTCCTATATTGATTGAGTTCAGTAGATGATTCTTGGACATCAGTTGGTATTCTGGGGGACTGAAATACGGATTCTGAAGGACACGAAAAGGACTTGAATAACTACATTTTAGGTGCTAATCCAAACTAGGTTGCGATGGGTTTACCCCAACCTTCGACAGTCAAGGATGATGCGCCAACAGCATTGCGTACGTCTACTTCTTGTCCTCCAGATTTTGGAGGAGTTAGTGCCTGCTATTTGGATGGGCTTCCAGCGGGAAGCTCTAGCAGCAGGGTGCTTTCATACCCATTGATAGGTGATTTTAATAGAAAGACCACATTAGATGGTCCGAATGAATCAAATGGGTATTCTAAAGACAATCATGAATTTGAACATGCAGACCTCCGTGGACTAAATATTGATTCAAGGGATGGAAATTCTAGATCTTTTCCTAAATTGGTGCCTTCTGTCCACATGCCGGCAAGAAGGGTTGTGGGCTTTGATTCTGGTTGTGGAGGTTCTGATGGAACAGAAACGAATATGGTCGATTCATCTTTGGTCAACAGTAATTGCAATTCGCCATTTGATCAGCATGAACTCCAGGCAAGGAAAAGACTGCTCTCTCCATTGAAAAATGTGCTCCCTAAACAGTTCAATGGTGATGTGCTCAATCTTTCTTCTGGTGATTCTAGATTTAGGCGTTCTGATTCAGCCGATAAACTATACAGTACTGGCTCCCAAGATAATAAAAAGCCAACACAGGATGCCTCAATTCTTTTGAAACACGGGATACTCCAACCTCTAGGTGCTCCAGCTGGAGCCCAGAATGGGATGTTACTAGGAGCAATTCTAATTCATTCACTGATGGTCCTTTACTTGGGAGCAAGGATTCTGTATCCTGTTATGATCATCTAGCAGCTAGTGCACACTCTCCGCTTTCTCTGTCTCCTCTCAGCCCTAAATATATGAACAAAATTAAGGTGACAGGATCTCAAAGATCTATAATGAAAGATCTTGAGAATGACTTCCTAGATTTAAAGGAAACTGGAGGTTCTGACAGAGCTAGGATGCAGGAGGTATCAGAAGGAACTAACTTGTTACATGATGAACTTGAAGTCATGACACCTAAATGGAGTTCATTGAGAAGATATAGAAATTGGGGCCCTGAATCTTCCCTACATCTCCCCGACTACACATCTCCTCGAATTGGTTATGGTCGGAGTTTGTCTTTGCATGTAAGGAGGTCACTCGTTGGCTCCTTTGAGGAGTCCCTTTTATCTGGTCGATACTCGTATGGAAAAGACAGTCAGGTCTCTAATTTCTTGTCTACTTACTAAATGTACAGGGCCCTTGATTGTTGAGAATTTGATTCCATTTCCCCTCTGAATGCAGACAATTGATGGTTTCTTAGCTGTTCTAAATGTCACTGGTGGTAGTTTCTTCCCACAACTCAGAGACTTCCATTCTCAGTAACAAGCATCGATGAGGATAGCTCCTTATTGTACTATTCTTCTATTGATCTTGCCGGGAGGTTTCTTGAATAACAGCAAAAGCCCGAAGCTCCAAAGAAGCTACAGTAATAATGATTCGCGATCAGCAAAGAGTCGTTTACGCATCCCTGTTAAGGGTCGCATACAACTGGTACTAAACTGTTTCAGATCCCTAACATTAATATCGTTCTGACCTTTGACCAATTCAATTTTGGTGAAATCATTGTTCTTTATCGTGCACTGGTTTATGCTTTTTTCCTCTATTTGAACTCGTTCATAATCAAATATCTATACAAGCTACCTGGATTGACAAGGCCTGTTGACATCAGAAATTCCTTGACGATGGAGTTGTCTGCATTTGCATTGATAGAATTGTTAACAGCTGAGATAAAGCACAATTAAAGCCTCCCTTGCTGCATGAAATTTATACAGACAAGAGTGCTGAGTTCTTGCATATTACTGAGCATTTCTTTTCTTTTCTTTTTGAATAAATATCCTCCCTCAGTGTTATGTCTATAGGCATTAGGCAATTTCTCAAAAGCTTCATTTAGTTTTCTTTGTACCTTACTGCATTACACAAATGACATTTTAATTTCACCTTCCATTCTTTGCTACTTTACTTCGAATAATTTGGTTCATGAACATATGATCTGTTACGTAGATCTGCTTACTGCTGGGATCTCTAGGCAACTTGGACAAAAGATTCTTTGTTGTTGTTTGTTGTGGGGGAATTCCTCATAGCACTCAATAAAGGCAAAGATTTACAGGATCTGATTTACATCTGCATCTGTGCACATTTGGGAGTTGTATTCTGTGTCTCTGTACAATTGAAATAAAAAAAGTATATGACTTTGATAGGTGGTGAGCAACCCAGAGAAGACTCCACTTCATACTTTCTTCTGCAACTATGACTTGAGTGACATGCCTTCTGGAACCAAGGTACAAGAATTACTAATATTTTCCATTATGTTTTATGACCTTGGACTAATATTTTTCATTGCATACTAAAAAGGACTGAATGTTTACCGCATGATCACCTGTTTACCTAATTTCCTGTTGACCCATATATGAAATATGTATGTGCATCCTTTTTTAATGACTGAGCAAATTTCATTTAATGGGTTGTTTGCTAGCCTCAAGCCATTTTGTATGGGCTTTAGTCTGGTGTTTATCATGTGTATAAGAGATCAGTATATGTTGCAAAGTATTACACTATATTAGATCTGCCAAGTGATTTTCCCTCAACTAAGTACTGGAAAAACAAGCCAATTTGGAAATTGGCAGTGCATGTAGTCTATTGTTTAATGTGTACCTGAAAGTATTTGAGAGTTTGAGGCCTGGAATGGACATGCTTTTACCTTCTCAGAGGGATCAAATGCTAGATTTTTTTAGTGCTGCTTTATAAATCGCAATGACTAGTTTTTGCTTTTGCTTTCTATCATCCGTTCTCATCTTGTTTCTCTTATTGTGTAACGAGACAGACTTTCATGCGGCAAAAGGTCACACTCTCCCCCTCTGTCTTACCCTCTAATCCAGTGGAAGAAGGAAGCAAGACTTGCGATGTTAATGTTGGCCCCAAATCTTCTCAGTCAGTTTCATGTGGAAGTGAACCTAGTGAACGCGGAACTCTATGTTCTGAATGTAATCAGCTGATGGCCTGATACCAAATAATGGTTGAATCCAAACTGTTGACTTTGAGTGGGTGCTAATTTTTCTGTTTGTCTTTGTAGGCTGCGGTGGTGGACAGAACTGCAACTCAAATGACGAATTAGAAAAAGGAGATCCGAAAGCAAGATGTCGATCATTGGATAGTGATTCTAATGAATCAAATAAGTCTAGTTCTCCTGGAAATAAGAAAGACCATTCTGATTCTGATGGTTGCTGCTGTCAAATGAATAAGTCTGGCATAGGAGAGAAGAAATCATGCTGCTCACCTTCTAAGATCAATGATAGTTCAGGTGGAGCTGCACTTCGCTACGCTTTGCACCTGCGATTTCTGTGCCCCTCCAAGAAATCCTCGAAATCAATGCTTCGGTGCAAATCTGATCCATCATCGGCACCATATAGCAACAATACATTACCCGAGGAAGAGCGGAGGTTCTATCTGTACAATGATCTTAGAGTTGTATTTCCTCAAAGGCACTCAGATGCAGATGAAGGCGAGGTACACAAAACTTTCGATGTTGTTGAAGTTTTTACCTTTTCATTTGTTCCTTCCATCATCAGTCAGAAATCGGGTCAGTTTACTTTTCGTTGGATAAAATGCATATGTGCTTGATAATTGATATGATGTTCTGTTATTTACTATAGTTGACGTTAGACCATCTTTTTAGTCTTCCTTAAAATCATTTCGAAACGATTATTCAAGCTTGCTCTAATTGCCTCTCCGTGGCAATCGGACTATTCCTTGATTGTTTCTTGTTCTGTTACGGTAGAATTTAATTTAATGTGACAGGTTTCATCTTTGTTGCAGCTGCGTGTGGAGCATGAGTTGCCCGCTGATCCCAAGTACTTTGACATAAGCAACTGATGGCTGATGGTTACTATGCTCCCATCCCATCTCATGTATAGCTTGCGCTGCTGCTGCGCACAAAAAGAATCTGTAAATATTTTACCATGACTAACTTGGTCACCAGTCATTTCCTCTTTTCGCCAGCAAAAATATACAGGTTAATGTTCCAATAAAATGCATCATTTAGTTCTCCTTATTGTTCTGCTTATATGTTCTTTCCTCCTGATTTCGAGACCGTCGAGGGCTGTGTTGTCATGTTTCTGAACACTAGCTGTCATTTGGCAAAACTGAAATGCTGAACTGATCAGAAGTCATGTCATCCAACTGAGAATTCGGGCTTGTGACTACAGAGTTCCATTTTGGCAACTGAAATGCTTAGGTGTTCGGAAATTATGTGATCCAATTCTGAATTGGGGCCTGCAATCACATAGTTCCCACTTGGCAACCGAAATGCAAGTGTTGAGAAAAGGATTTGGGCCTTAACCTCCTGCTCTGGATGAATGCTGGAGTGGTGAAACTAAAAGGCACGAATGTTATTAGAACATTATTAGATTCGATTCACTAGAAGCTTGAAACATTAGAACATTATTAGATCGGTAATGCTTTGTTTAGGGCGTTCGGACGTCCTGTTCCCATCGGACGCATCTAACCATCCACACAGGCAAAAGCTCTGCTCGCCTCGCTCCGCACACGCCGCTCGCTCCCGCCCGCGTGCCTCGCTCCGCACGCGTTGCTCGCTCCCGCCCAGGCCGCGCGCCCTAGCCTGTCAGATTCGCCCCGCGCGCTGTAGTGGATCGACGGTGCCGAGGCGTAGGGCCACGCCACCGTCTTCATCGCCAAGCTCTTCAGCCGCGTTGGCCCTGTTTCCTCACCGCTATCTTCGAGCCGCAGCGCCAGGTAGGCCTGCCTGTTGATTCTACCGTGACGGTGTGCCTCCATCCGACTACCGTGGCCGCCTCCACCTTGCGGGGTGCCGCCAACTGCTGTCGTGGTTGCTTCCACCGCGTCGGGTGCCGCCATCTGCTGTCGAGGCTGCCTCCACTGTGTCAATTCGGCGCATCGTCCGCGCCATGTTGCGCTGAAAAAACGTGTTGCAAATATATGTTTAAGATGTTTTAAAGGTATGTTGCAAGTGTTTTATACAGATGTTGCAAAAGTAGATCGAATGTTGCATATGTTGCAATGGTTTGTACAGTATGTTGCAAGCGTCTGTTTCCAATGTTTCATCTATTTTTTAGACGTATGGTGCAAGTGTGTTTATTTGGATGTTGCATATGTTTGTGTTTTTTTTTCAAGCGTTTTAAACACACGTTTCAAGTGTTTTATTTGTCTTCTTTTGTATGTTGCAAGTATGCATCTGGATGTTTCAAAAGTAGATCGGGTATTGCATCTTCTTCCTCGCCTTCTGCTGCCTTGCCTTGGTGTCTCCTCACCTTCTGCTGCGCTGCATCCTTCTTAGACTGTGGAGGGGGCGCGGTGGGGGCCGGTGGAGGGGGCGCCGGGGGATGGCGGCGCGGATGCGAGCGCATGCTCTCCCCTTCCGTTACGCTAGTAGGTAACGCTTTGGTTCACTTTTTTTTTTTTTGGTTATAATACATGGGATGCTGAGATGGGATGCTTTTATTGGTGGGTCTGGGACTGAAAATTGGGCCACGATTCGATTGGCTGGGAATGATAACTGTGTCCGGACACGCTGTCGTCGCCGAATGTTTGGACGCTATTGCCTCCGTTATTTAAGGTTCAATTCAACTCCGAAGGACAGGAGCACATTTTGACGCAATGGGTCAAGACGATTTCGAAGGCTTGGTGTCGTTCGTGGGCTGGCAAGCCGCTGTTTGGGAAAGGAATGCAGGAGAGGTCCATGTTGTGCACCGCCTAGAGGTGATGGTCTGAGAGCTTGGTCCGGGCCCCACTGCTACTTGGGCTGGGCTATGACACACTCCAATGCAACCAAATTACGTTACGTGCTGCGTATATCTTGTTCTCCGACAGCAGTATTTCTTCGGGCATGCCCTTATAGCAGATCCATTTGCAATTTGCATAATTGCATTGCAGGGAAAAAAGTTGCAACATTTGCTAACACAGTCCCAAGATTCTCAAACATCATCTTTGTGTTTATTTAAATCTACATACAGGATCCTACGTGGCATCACCGTCACTTGGAGATGGGAGAACATACGAGTACGAGAGAGAGAGAGAGAGAGAGAGAGAGTCCAACGTTCTCAAAGGCATTCCGCCAGATAGACACGTCTATCTGTTGTACTTCATGCATATTATATATATATATCGTGTGTATGCAGGCGTCGACATTAGCTGCTGTTGTTGGCGATCATCGCACGTACGTACGTACTCGTGCGTCGACCGGGGGGTTCGATCGGTTCTATAGAAGAGGATTAATTGATCGGACGGCGACGGCGATGACGATGACGATGGAGCTGGAGTCGCAGGTGGTGGTGGTGGAGACGACGACGAGGGCCGCCACCGCCGCGCACGTGAGGACCACGGTGGCGCTCCGGCTGCTGGCGTTCGCAGCGTCGCTCGCCGCCGCCGTGGTCATAGCCACCAACCGGCAGGACCGCTGGGGCATCACCGTCACCTTCAAGATGTTCGCCGTCTGGGAGTACGTATATAGATTATTAGTTCATCGCTTATATATCGTTGGGATCTGCTACCTTCTTGCCATCGATGCATGGCAATTGTGGTAGGCAGACACTGACCGGCGATTATCCATCGCGACGAACTGAAAACTTGTTCATCGCAGGGCGTTTGTGGCGATCAACTTCGCCTGCGCCGCCTACGCGCTGCTCACGGCGGTCTTCGTGAAGAAGCTCGTCAGCAAGCACTGGCTGCACCACATGGATCAGGTACGCATACGTATACGTATACGGTTACGTTGTTATTCTTCTGTTCATCCATGGCTGCCATCTAATCGAACTGTACTATCATCGTCTCCTCCGTCTCGATCGCTAGCTGACGTAGCGTGTGTGCCTGTTGGCTGCGCATGCAGTTCACGGTGAACCTGCAGGCGGCGTCGACGGCCGGCGCCGGAGCGGTGGGGTCGATAGCCATGTGGGGGAACGAGCCCAGCGGGTGGTACGCCGTCTGCCGCCTCTACCGACTCTACTGCGACAGGGGCGCCGTCTCCCTCGCGCTCGCGTTCGTCGCGTTCGTCGCCCTCGGCGTCGCATCCAGCCTCTCCCGCTTCCCCAGGGCACCCCCCGCCGGCACCCAGATAATTAGTAATTCATCTTGATTAATTTCTTCGCGACACCACATGCAACAGCTATACGGACAGATGATAATACTATATGTGTATATACTAATATACATATACATGTTTGTTCGAACTTAGAACTAGACAACTAGTGCAATGCATGTGTACATATTCGTCTCCAAACAGACAGCATGGACATGTGCCCTACATACTAAAACATGACTAATTAACACAATCAGGGATTCAAGTGGTGGTAACAAAACGGCCGGACATAACAAAACAAAACACTTCACTGCAAACTCACGCATCAGACGCTCCATCGTAGCTAGTAAGACCACATGCATGGTACATAATCAGTACTGTATGTAAGCTACATATTTCTGTTCTGATGATGGCAACAGCTAGCGAAAGGGGAAGGGGGGGGGTCGTCTCTTACAAGCAATACCGTGCAATCTCTGGAGTTGACTGCCCAATGGCCACAATTGCTTCACCGCAAAACTCGGCTCTCTTAACACTGCGTATCGATTCCGCGATAGCATCCTTACCACCTCCATTGCTATTGCACGTAACGCAGGCACACAGCAAACTCGGTCTTCACAGGCCATATGGCTGGCTCATCCACCGTAACCGGCGTTCAGCGCTTCGGTCGACTTGACGAACCGCCCTTTCACCCGCTTCCTCGTGTCCGCCCTCAGCTTCCTCGACTCGTACCGGATGTGCTTCTCATACCTACACACAGGAATGATGGACAAACATGTGATGAGTAAACTGTAACAGTCTGTTCTTAATACTACGGAAGATCAAAGTTGCTGTCAGCAGCAGGAGGCAGGTAAGGGTCAAGATCAGTTTATCTATCCGTGCCTGCGGTTCTTCTTCTTTTCCCTGTACCGCTGCATCGCGCTGTCCCTGTTCTGTGCGAGCGTCTCGCTGTCGATCCTCACGGCAGGCCTCTCAGCTGCGGGGGCGGAGACCGTTTGATCCCCGAAGGAGATCTCCCTGGTGAGTGCTGGTCCTGAAGTGGGTACATGGTTCCCGGAAGTTGTTGGTCCATCCATCGTCGAGGCACAGGAGCTCAGCTTCCGTTTGTTGCTCGCGGTGCTCACCTGGTGAGGAGCAAAAATTCAGCTAATATCAGAAGCCAGCCATGCTGAAAATTCTACTGGACAGTGCCCCAGAGAGAGAAATTATCTTTGAAAGGACTCAGATAGAGAATTGTGGTACTCTAAAATGATGCAAAACCAAGAACATGTGGTGGGGCGTTGTATGACGATTTTTAGGTGACAAAATCGGCCTTTAATGTTTCATAAACAGACAAGATGCCTCCATGACTTGGTGGACCCGAGGATATGTATGGTGGCCCATAACAATCCTGGTGAACGAAAACAGCTCAACGGGTTCATACCATTTGGGACCATATTGAGTCCACTTCTATATGAATAGCCCTTTAGAAGATAAGATCTATATCCAATTATGAGCATGACTGCTTGAATGCATTCAACAGTAAGTAGTGCATCAACATCAGCAAAAGCTGGGTTACGCTGTCGATGGAGCAGCAAGTGGTGCATCAAGCTATCAAACATGTGGAGCATCTATATGTTCTGTAAACATACATGTGCTTTTAGAAGTTTTGCATACTATTCAGGAAGCTGATTTTCAGTATTTTATTGATCTCGAAGCTTTGATCAATATGTTTTTTACCCAAGCAAAAATTTATCTTCAAAATACTGTCTAGTTTCCTTAGCTCAAGCCAGAGGACTTCATCATAGAAGCTATAGCTAGCTAAGTATTTCTTGATGGGCCAAAGTTGTGGTACAAACTTGAGGATGATGCTCATCTATACGAATGGCATCTTTAATCAGAAAAGTATTTGGTCCGTTTGACTTTGCTCCTCTGCATTTAGTGCTATAGTGATAAGAAGAAAATATTTTTTTTTCGAAAAGAAAAGAAAATAAGAAACTACGATACGTGTGAGATAAGTAATGCCTTCACATACATGGCAATCTTATTTTCTATCACATCACATGGGCTACAGGTTAACAACACATAGCTGACGCTGTTACTACAGTGAACTTGCCACATGTTCTGGATAGACACAGCCACACACCAAGCAAGCATCCTTTAGGGTACCGAAAAAAGGGGGAGAGAACTTACATTTTTCGATGACAACTGACAGATATTAGAGGACATGGTATCTTCGGCAGTTGAGCAGTATCTTGAGTCATAAATATCTTCCAGATCTTTCATTGTCCCCGAAGAAATTTCCTTAAGCATGTCACTATAACTCTTAATCATAAAGCCTCCATGGTTAGAACCATATCCAACTTCAAGAGCAGACTTCTCATCGTGATCCCTTGACCTTCCCAAATTGAAGTCCCATATCTGCCACACAAATAACAAGCAAGCAATCAACTGCCTTGCATTCCCTGGCAATAATAAGCAGACTCAAACATGAAATTAGAATACAAGTTGAGGATTCTGGAGCATCCACAGCATGAAGTACATGATTTTTTGACACTAAAACATGCAATCAGAAGTTCAAATAATTAATATTGCAATTGGTGCATGATTGTTGAGCAGACTTATGTGAAAATATGATCCATTTCGTATCTGAAAAGTCAAATACGATCAGAAATTCTGAATAATAGTTAGTAGTGTGAAGTCATGTGCAACACACTTTTCCACATCAAGATAGCAACGCTTCTTCAGAAAGGTACGTATATTTGCAGCGTTGCTAAAGGAAACACATTTCTTCACCGGCTCAATTTGTGCATTCAATGACTCTAAAACAACAGGTCCGTGAACCTTTTGCAACTACAAGCTCTCTGTGAAAAAAACTGAACCATAAATGCGGAGAGCAGGAAGATCAATTTTATCTCAAGTTATTTACTGAAAGCTACTGTGAGCTTGATCATTCTGTTCTCCTGGCTGAAAAAAACCTAGGAAAGGAGACAAAGAGCCATGAGAAGTTCAGAACCACGGATTTCTCTACCTGGTCATCTGAAAAAGCACAGGCTTGTAAAAATTGATGGCCTTGGAACCGGCACCATATAAATCAATATGGAGCGAACAAATCATTTGGATCTACCCACGCACCCACCCGAGATCTTGATACAAATTTCTTGGTCTTGTTGATATACAGTATGGCTAGGAAGTGCAGCCAATTTGTTTTGTACTGTTAGCTTTGTTAAACGACGGGAATAATATTTCACCACCATGTAATGTTAAATCATGTGTAAGGCCACCGAACTGAATAATAAGGAGAACCATTTAGCAGGACAGTCAGAATTCAAATTGACCGGAAAGATTGATTTTATACGGCGTACCCAGCGCAAAGAGCTCCTGCTCTGTGCGGAGTCTGGATAAGGGTGTCAATGACTAGCCTTGAGTAGACCACAACTTGAACCCGAGACCTTCCGATCACAGACAGGCGGAAAGACTCTACCCCTTTGCACCAAGCCCGCCCTTCATTTTATACAAGTAGGAGTACTAAAAAATCTTGTTTTTTTCCTTCTCCTTTTCATTTAACATCGGGTGTTTTGTCTTGAAATTTACCTGGGTGGGCGGCACTGAGGGCGCAGCGCAGTCCCAGAGCAGTTGTTCGTCGTCGTCAACCACCCTGTCGGCGCCGCCAATGAGGTCGGCGCAGTTGGCGGACGCCATCATGAGCAGGGACGTGTACGGCAGAGGCACCTCCTGGGCCGCGGCGGGCGGAGGATGATGAGACGGCATCGCCGCCGCCGGGGGCGCCATCTTGCCCGGCGGCAAGCGTCCGCCGGATGCCGCGGAGGTGCGGCGAGGCGTGCGCGGGCTCAGATCCGAGTGCGGGTGCGCCTGGGCCGAGTCCGCGTCGCGGCGCGCCATCTCGGCGAGCTGGTCGGATAGCGCCTGCCCCCTAAGCGGGCGCGCGCCGACGGCGTCGGGGGCTGGCACCCACGGCGGGTCGCACGGCACGTACAGGTCGCGCAGGTCCGGGTCCACCACCCCGAGCACGGAGTAGTCGAGCACCGAGAGGAAGGGGTCGTCGTCGATGTCGCCGCCGTCCTTGTCCTCCGCGCGGCCGTGACCGTCGTCGCCCATGGCCGCGCGGCGGAGGTCGAGCCCCCATGACGCGGCGAGCTCGGCCGCCGAGGGGCAGCCCGAGAAGCCCTCGACCGACACGCGCGCCGCCGCCGCGGCGGTGTCGCAGTCGGCGCAGAGGAACGCCGGGTCGGCGCCCGGGACGGGGGAGACGCGCGCGGCGGCCGGGCGCGCGGCACACCCCGCGCAGAGCGGCGCCCGCACGTGCTTCCTCGACAGCGCGTTGGCGGCGTGCACGTGGCGGTCGCACGCGACGCAGAGGCGCGCGGCGTCCGCGCGGCAGTGCAGCGCCGCCGCCGCCTCCCCGCAGTAGTCGCACGGCCACTGCTGCCCGCCCGCTCCTCCTCCTCCCCCGCCGCCGCCACCGCCGCTCTTCATCTCCCACGCCGCCACCAACCGGGAACCAACCTAACACAGAGAGAGAGAGGGAGAGGGAGAGAGAGCACAAAGCCCGCGCGCACGTGGACCACGAGGCGCACGAAACCGAATCGCTGGGGCCGGAGCAGCCGACGCCGACGAATAAAAATGGCGAGAGGCGAAGGCCAACGGAGGGTTTGCTTGCTCGCGACTTCGCAATAAGCAGGGCCATGTTTAGATTCCAAATTTTGTAATTCGGACACTGTAGCACATTTCGTTTGTATTTGATAAACTTTGTCCGATTATGAACTAACTAGGCTCAAAAAATTCATCTCGTGATTTATAATCAAACTATACAATTAATTATTTTTTTTACCTACATTTAATGTTTCATATATTAAAAAATAATGTGATAAAGAAAAAGTGAAAAAACTTAAAATTTTGATGGGATCTAAACAAGGCCTAGCAGCAGCGGAGGCGGGGGCCGATCCGCTACACGCCGCGGAACAGCGGACACCTCCCGCTGCCCACGTGTCAGCCGGTGGTCAGCCGGACTGGAGGTGAGGTGGCGGGCCGGCCCCGGGAGGCAGCGCCGGTGGGGGCTG